ACATCGCCCCCTTAGGATCGGGGTGTGACGCCAGCGGGCTCCCCGGAGTCTGGATCGTTCGTCGGAATCGCGAGATGCGCAGATTCCTGCCTGCTAGCGGTGCAGACGAGTTCCAGACACTGACCGTTCCGGACTGAGTGTCCAAAGGGCGAACATATGTATGGCGAGGGGCTTGCTACACGCCAAGGGCAGGCCCAAAGAACCTGCCTCCGGGGCTAGTGAGACATTGCTCAGAGCGGAGTAATCCATCAAGTAAGTGAATATGAGCGGCAGAGAACAGCAATGGGGGGGCAGATGCCACTTGGCTAATGGGCGAAGGGCGGCCACAGTCGGGGAACCTGTCGCAGGCGAACGGGGACCGCCCACTTTATCAGAGTCAAATAAGGGGAAGGGCAGGGCTCAGAGAGGACATGCAGCAGTCAGGGCCAGACCTAATCTGCTGCAGAGAGCCATTAGACTTCTGAAGGTGGAGGGTTGCATGCGGCCAGAGGGGCGCGGTTACTTCTCGGAGAGACCATGTCGGTAAATCACAGCGGTTCGTGGAGACAGCTCCGTGATGGGGCACAGGGTGATCAGGGACGACACGTGACGCCGTGATGTCATTGGTATGCCCACTGAAGTTAGGTTACTGAATGTGTGGCGCAGTTCCACGGCGCACAACGGAGGCCCAGACGCCAAATTCCGCCATTTCTCTGGGATAGGGACTAACTAAAAGCGGTAGTCAGTGGCAGACCCAAAGCGAGCGAACAATCTGGCTTGTGGTTTTGAGACGTTATCATTCCCACTCTGTCACAACTCTTCCGGGAGCCATCCCGTGCGCAATCAATCTGCGAGCACCCATAGGTGCACGAGAGCAGAGCACGGCTGATAACCCGACCTTCAGAATCACCGATCCATTCGGAAGATCACCAACGGGGACTGCGCGCACTTGCAGATGTCCCCATGAAATAAAGATCAATGCACGATGGAGGACACTTGGCGAAGGTCGCATTTAAATGCACGCGGTCGATCTATCAGTGGTGGCACGGTTCGGAGCGGGGTCATGTGACTCGACAGCCATTATTCGGGTGCTCGGGGGACAGACGGGGTGACCTAGCGCTCCTGCCGACACGGCACTGGCTGCTGAGGCCGGTGCCCACTAGCCGGTACAGGAGGACCAACGACCAGAGACCGGGGACCGGATATCAGAGACCGGAGACCAGACTTGTCAGGTGGCCTGAGAACACTGTAGCGCACCTGATCGGTCCGTGAAGGGCGGCACGTGATACGAGCCACGTGACAGCACGCCACGTGAGGGCAGATCACATGACAGGCGTCACCTGATGACGTCGAGGCTTTTTCAGGACTCGGGCTCTAGCGCCGGACAATGACAATGTGCTGTATAATCGGGAGAACGACCGTAACGACAGGCAGGCAGGCAGACGACGGGCGGACGGACGGACAAGATTACCGATTCGTCGACCCCGTCCCGCAGGGCGACGGTCCCCGGAACGTTTTAACATTCAGCGAGCAGGGGAAGCCGTCTTTCCAAGGTCAGCCGCCCCTGGGCAGAAATTCAAAATCAAGGACGAAGGACTGAAGCCGAACCGTAGGCCGTAGCGCTGGTCGTGCTAGTTTGTTCAAAACTTCTCGTGCTAAAAACAACACGAACAATGTCTGTTTGAACAATAAACCCGGGAAGTGAGTAACACAATGCAACGCTTTTATGATAATTGACACGATTTGCGATTCCTTAGAAGCAAGGCACCGGAAAAGGCGTCAGGCCGCTGTCTACTGTCTACAGTTTCCACGCAGCACCTCGCAGAGTAACACCGGCAATCAGAGCATTCCTAAAGCAATGCAATTCCACTTAGCCAACCCAATTATTTTTAATCACCGATAGTCAAAATCCTCTCTGATAAGCGTCACCCAGTTCACGACCAGGGTTCATCAACTGACTCGCGGGCGCAGCTGTAATGGGTCTGCCTCTACCATTCTGCTCGCTACTGCACATTACCATATCCCACTACTCCCCACACAGACCGCTCCACGGCCGGCCGGCCGTGAGAGTGATGACAGCCGTCCACGACTCGGGCTACAACTCTTGGCACCTGCCCGTCGCACGGGAGCTACTCCAGCGTGACGCCGTCGGCCGCCGGTCAGTGTGGCCGTCTGAGAGGCCGCGGTCCGGCGGCGAAAGTAACGAGTTGTGTGCACTCCGAGTGTCACAGACAGCGACCACTCAGGCCAGCCGGTAATGAAGTGAGTGCGCCGAGCCGACCGCTGGGACAGTAGACCGGTCCCGTGACTACAGATACCGAATGTGGGCCCACGAAGCGAGCCAGTTTCGCCGGGCATTGTCCACGCGGAGCTGGACTAATGTAAACGTGCACGCCACAGCGAATGCACGGCACGGAATACTGCTACCTGTGCTGCTACGAATTTAACCAGTCATGGTAGCAGTTGAATAAATCCCGTCCGTTTCCTGGGCGGAAATGTCCATATTCAGTTTCACCACGTTGTTCGTTAATGATTTCCCCTTCGGTATTTGTTACCGGTTGGCGGTTGCTGTAGAACGGCCCACGCGACTGAAGCCGCGAAAAATAAACTGAGTTTAAGTTTATTTGAGGATAGAGGACAGAGGAGTCATTTGAGGATACAGAGGCCATTCAGGCACGCGAATAAATGCAAGGGCGGCGAGTCGGGACGGTGCATACGAGCCAATTTCACGGCTGAACCATGGAGCTTCGCAAAGCGGCGACCTGTTGCGGAGTGCCTTAGACGGCTCACTGCTCAGTTACCCGCCTGATGCCATGAATTACGACAAAAACTGGTGTTGAACACCCACAGTGTCCCGTGCCGCTCCGCGCTCCTTGTCGCCGTGCCTGCTCAGTGCTCAGCCTGTTATCGCGGCCCGTTTCACTCCGGGGACGCCGTAACGGACAGAAGCCGCGCACTCATCCGGCCTCTGATGTCAGGCGGAGTCACACACTTCCTCGGCGATGACTGGCAGACGACATTAGGGTGGCTGTAATCGCTCCTTTCCAGAGACACTGTACGCTAAACGACGAGCGGACAGCGAAGCGTGGAGCGTCCTCCCCTGTCTCGTTCTCCCATCCGGTCCAGAGACACCAATCACAGGAGGGTGAGGCTCGGTGTCCGGCCCAGGCCATCCTTATCCAGAGAGCGGATGTTGCATCTCACCTGCGCCTCAGTATTTCTAGCCGTTCCAAAGTTATCCTACCTAAGCATTCGGGTTGCAAAGGGGTAGGATGCCTTGACAAGCATTATTCAGCTGCTCAGCGACCCATGAGTTAGATCGGACCATTCAGGTCAGCCGACACAAACAAGCGTGAGCCTGTTTCGACCGCGCTACTCCACCGTGGCCGAGAATTCTCATCTGAGTCGCGTTTTACCATACGATCAGCGGCCGTATATTGAGCTAGCTGTGGTTTACCAACCTAGCCGCGCTTTACCATACGACCCGTACTTTGAGCCGCCGCGGTCGAGAGACTCAGCCAAGGGCTGGGGTGCGGCGACACGCACGCAGTGTGGAACGGATGCGGTGTCTGGCCCGCTACATAATGCCACCGAAAAACCGCCGCGCACGGAACTGCACGAAATTTGAGACCGGCCGGCATGGCTGTGTTGTACTGCAGGGGAGGCCGGTCGGGGCTGGGAGGGGCGGGCGGTTCAGTCCGGTGGGACAGGGGACCGTCAGGTGGGACAGGGGACCGTCAGGTGGGACAGGGGAGGTCTGGTGGGACAGGGGAGGTCTGGTGGGACAGGGGAGGTCTGGTGGGACAGGGGATCATCCTGTGGGACAGGGGACGGTCTGGTGGGACAGGGGATGGTCCGGTGGGACAGGGGACGGTCTGGTGGGACAGGGGAGGGAGCATTGGGACGGGGGAGGGATCAGTGGGACAGGGGATGGTCCGGTGGGACAGGGGAGGGATCAGTGGGACAGGGAGCGGGCCGGTGGGACAGGGGACGGTCCGGTGGGACAGGGGAGGGAGCAATGGGACGGGGGCTGGACGAGCGAGATATCCGGACCAGTCGGCAGACCCATCACTCGGCAATGTCATTACGGCAGTACTGCAATGCTCCAACTGCACAGCCCGGGTTTCCTGCAGATAAACTCAGCCGTATACACTAATGCCTACTTGATATTGTTTGCAGTTTGATGACAATCATATCTAACAACTTCGGTTTTTGTGAAGCGTAGAAAGTGAGGTCCGTGAATCCAGAAAAACGCAAAGATGATGTTACGAGGTAAGAGAAAAGCAAACACAATGTACTCGAACGTTTACAGATAACATGATAATAAGACTGATGTAATCCAGATGAGAGATCACAGACCAAGCGCCGCCAGAATAGCTCGTAAGTCGTACTTATGTCTAGTGCCGTATCAGCTTGTGTGGGCTGTGGCACAGTGAAGGTCGGGGTGGTGAGGAAGCCCCACCTCGGGTTCAGGAAGGAACAGGGAGCGGGGCGGGGCGGGTTGGGAGTTGGGACACAGGCCGGAATCGCCTGAAGACGAGACTCGTTGACTCACCGCGCAGTTATGGCAATGACTGTTTAGGCTCCGAGCTTTGTCGTGGTCGAATTGTGCACATATTAGATACTCTATCATCGTCCATGCACCGACAAGGGACACGAATATCCAGGAACATAGGCCTCTTTGGGGTTCGATACCGATTGTTGGCCTGTAGTTGAGCCGATACCGTGTGTCACAGCGTGCGCCCAGAGGCAGTGACGTAACGGAGGGTGAGCCCTATTCTAGGGGAGGGGCTTCCCATGTAATCTCTCAATGTCGTGTTTTTGCCACTCGCTCAATGCATCCTCGAGAATAAGTTCTAAATCAATTTCAACTGGAACGTTTGCCGTCAGCTAACTTCCGATGGCCAGCCGATGACTCGGGATTTTTCGTCTGCTCAACGAAACGCGAGTTACAATAAACACGCAAATCCCTTGTCATGTGTGTGGTGGTCAAGTCCATGAGTCTGGGCCAGGGAACTTACTTTTTGAAGATCCGTTCGTATTCTTTGATCTCTTTCCTGGAGAACTCTGGGAACTCGGTGTACGGGTTGAAGACTTTCAGAACTTTTTTCACTTGCTTGCCGGCGTCCAAATCATCGTTGATCTGGCAGCGGCGGTTCAGGACGGCACTCAGCTCGCTGTCGGCCGACATGGTGACCTGAACTGGGTCAAACAGGGACAGAGGTCAAGCAGCGGCGATCACTTGGATTGAGTATCGACTTCGAAGTATCGACTTCATCGAATGACTGTACGTAAAATTAGTCTACGATGTGCCACAAGTAAATAATCATTTTTATGGATTATACCCGTAACCCGACTTATACCTATCTGTCGTCGTCCTAAATCTATATAAGGCGAATATACGCCTTTGATGTCAAGAACAGTCATTGCCAGAGGCGCAAATCTTAATTGTTAGTCAATATTCGTCACCAATATTTATATCCAGCTGATCAAATAGAACATCCACAGTCCGATGCTTACCTAATGAGAGTGCAGACACCAAATACAAAACCAACACTTAGCTCCCCCAACAGCTTTTACCAAACACCCACACGACCTCACAGTTCAGCGCAAACTGACAACAACGAGCGGCGCGCCTCGACGAGTGCCGCGTCGTGTTTGTTTGAAGCGCGCCACACTGGCGCCACACTCTCTTCTGCTAGAATGATCAGCTGATTGCAGAATGAATCGATCTGTTATGATTTTCTTTATTTTGATATTCCAAGTTCCAAATGATCAATATATCTGCTGAGCTACGAATTTCGGCTTCACACAAGCTGAGGAAAATTAGAATTACACCTAAATCTATATGAAATTGAATGAAATTTATTTTCGGTTGTGGTATGGCGCTTTCCTTTTTAATCACGTGGTATCTTATGAACTCTTTGTCCTCAGTTTGAATACAATTCAACAAACACGCTCAGTATAACCAAAAACTATTAAAGATAATATTTTCAAAAGTAGCAGTCATGACAAAATATTACAAGTAACTAATTTTAGGTGAATCACAGAAAAACTCAAGCCACTCACGTGGTATTTGGGATAGGGCACAAGACAGCCAAATATTACACTTCGAATCCTTTGTAAAGCTTGTGTTCGTTGCACTCGTATGCGATAGCCAGCGCAAGCGCTATCGGGCGGCAAAGATTACTCATTCGTCGATTTTGCGAGAGACCTTCCCAGTTTTTCAGCATTTGAACAGACTTACAACTTTCACTTTTCGTACGTCGTCACTCGTCAGTCAACGTCGTTGTGTGGGTTGTGTGCAGCAAGGGTTGGTTGCGGTTGCGTTGTGTGTAAGGTTGTGTGTATCATGATTCTTACAGAGGTTACAGAGGTTACGGCAGAATTCACTCAATATACCCTGGGTTACAGAGTGTATTCCGCGCTGTGTGTGCAGCTGTGTGTATGTAAATATTTAATATTTTGGTGTATGAATCGCTGAGAAATTGGGGTTAATTGTCACCGAAGGTACCAGGAAAGTAATAGCATTATTATTCTTGAGCAATAGATGGCCTTGGTTGAACATGACATTTTTCCAAGTTTTTTTTCGGGGGCGGGGGGGGGGGGTGGCAGTTTGAGGTGATCAACTTTAAAGCACATGCGAGCCAGGCTGATGAAACTCAGCAGCTAAAGTGACAAAGCCGCAACATCCTGGCTCAATCTGGCTGAGGATTGGCAACAGCCACCACAACCAGCCCTTAACCCTCGCCCGCACATGCCATTTTCCCATCCTAGAACGCACATGGGGGGGGGGGGTGGTTGCCACCCCCCCGCGCCATTTCGTTCCTGTTGGTCGTTGGAGATAGAGCTTAGCAGTAAAGACCAAAAAGATTCTTTGGGAAGAGACGAATCCAATGATACCCAGTTTTACCTTCTCAGGTCAGTCATTGACCTTCCAGGTCAGGTCAAACTAAAAAATGTTGCTGTTTTGGGTCACCGTTGGATATCAAGTGCGCTGCTTATCAAATACCGATGACGATGCTGTTTTCTGGTGCCAAGCCAGCTAGAACCTCTTTGTCACACTATCCGACCAGAATTTTGCTGCTGAGGTCATTTCAGGTCAAGTTAGGTCAAGGTCAATTATATGTGTTTGTATGTTTGTGTGTGTCTGTGTGTATACTGATGTGTGCACCGATTGTTTTTGGGTCAATATCACATGAAATCATGATCTGAGAAGCTTTTACCAAAAATGCAGTCAAAAAACTTCACAAAAAGTAAATTCAGCTTGCCTAAAACGCAATTATCTTAGATGACCTAGGTTGACCTTGACCCTGACCTTGACCCCTGTACATCGTCGAACAACATGTTCCATGATAGATGGGAGGTAAGACTGGCAAAAAAGGCCGAAATCAGGGTGTCAAAAGCTCACAAGGCCCATGGCAAACGCAAGATGTTGAGAATTGGCCATTTGGGTCATGACATGACCTGAAAAACAAGGTCATATCTCCGAAACCGAAAATCACAGAAACTTGAAATTTTCAGTGGACATCAAGAAAGGATAGACGAGCAGCTATACGAAAAATCAGCCTTCTAGCTCTAAAAATGTTGAGTGCAGAGCAGAAAGACTGCCTGGGGGGGGGGGGTGGCAACCCCCCCCCATGTGCGGGCGAGGGTTAAGTGGAAGAAGAGTTAGAAGTTAGAACCAACTTTTGCTTAAGAACGTTAAGTACTTTTGCTCTTTTGATTGGCCGAAACCACACGGAAAATAAGAAGTTGAAGTTGATCTATCTTTCCCTGGACCCTGGTCGACCCCATTGTGTCTCCCATGCATCATTTTTCAGACAATGCTGATGCTGTGCCATCAGTGCAAGCACAGCAGTTCATCTCAGTGCCACAGTGCCACTGAATGAAGGCCAGCACTGCTCCAGCTCCACTTACATTCCACAGCTCACTACTGGAAATCTACAATCCAGTCTCCACTGCACACTTGTGGAGTCAGGGTGCCTCTGCACCTAAGTTACTGTATGATCATCCCCATATCAGGATGTCTACTTGTGTGTTCACTCTAATCAAAACTTGCAACCACCACATGATAAGATCTCAATTGAGGTCTAGAAAAAATAGATTAGAAGAAAAATATGGAAATAGATTAATATATTTTCTCATCTTTATGCAATTGAGTTTAAGATTAAGCTGACAAAAATTGGCATGCAATTTATCCTGAACGTGTTGGGACCTATTTTTGTGTAACAACTCTTCAAAATTTGATAAGCTATGACTCAGTAGTCAGTAATCCATTGGCTCAGTACAGCAGTGGATGCATGTATGATTATCTGGGAGGGGGAGAGGGATATATTTCCAGATTCCCATACTCTCTCACCGGTGTGACTGTTGGACCTAGCTTATCAGATAGTTATAGTTTCAAGCAATGAGATGGTTAATGGTTGTTTCAAGAAATTTGATTCATGGACACACATTACTCTTTGATCATGATTTGTGTTAACTTGTTAGCTGTTGAATGGAAATGCGGACCCTCCCACCCTAACATTAGATTTGAGTTGAGACATAGGCGTAGGAACAGGGGGGGGGGCCGGGGGGGCCATGGCCCCCCCACTTTCGGAGGTGGGGGGGCCAGCAATGTTAACTGGCCCCCCCCCACTTTTTGCTGACTTAAGTGTCTGTCTGTACCTAACCTACCACCCGGTAACTTGACAACTATTCAGCTTGCCCTTTAATGAAGATTCCTTTTTGTTTCTACAGCGTTATTGACCGCAATTTCCTTCACTCAATGAAGGAAACCATATAAGAGACAAGACTATGAGTCCTGGTGACAGCATTTTGTTGAATACGAGGCGCGGGACAGCGAGCACTGAAAAGGTATAGGCAATACTAAGACAATACTAGCACGGTGCAGGAGAATGCGTATACAAACGACCAACGCTTGACCTTATCTGCTTGGGGTCGGCATAGTTCGTCAAAGGCGTACTAGCTGGGGGCCAGGGTGACCGTGCCTCAGCCTCGGTTCAAACAGGCTGGGGGCCAGCAATGTCTGTTTCTGCCCCTCCCCCTTCCACTTTCAGTGCAGTGGCGGTCGCAGAGGGGGGATCAGGGCCATGCCCTTTCCCTCCAAAGGCTAATCAGGGGGCCATCATATCATTTGGCCCCCCCAAACAACCAATGGGCCCCCATGGGCGTATGGGGCTCTGGCCCTTATTCGGTTGTCACGAGACTCAAGAATCCCACGCTAGCTATTAACAGCTCCCAAACCAGTCTTTGAGGGTCCTACACTGATCTCGGAGGGCCCTTCAGTGGCGGTCAAGCGCCCACATTGACCGCTGAGAACCCATATTGACCTCATTTGAGGGCCCCTAAACCGGCCTCAAGGGCCCAGCCGGCGTCTGAGGGCCTCACACCGGCCTCTGGTGGCCTCATTTCTGTCTCTGGGGTCCCAAGACTAGCCTTTAGGTGCCTTTGAGGGCCCCGCACTGAATTCTGAAGACCCGATGCCGGCCTCTAAGGGTCCGCATCGGCCTCTGAGGGTCCACCTTGGCCTGAGGGGTCCAACGCCGGCCCATGCCGGTCTTTTAGGGCCCCACACTGACCTCTAAGGGCCCATGCTGACCTGTAAGGACCCACATTAGCCTATGAGGCCTTGCACGGGATTCTGAAGACCTGATGCCGGCCTCTGAGGCCCATCTTGGTTTTTGAGGGCCTTCTGCTGGTCTCTGGGTTCCAACACCGGCCCATGCCGGTATTTTAGGGTCCCACATTGACCTATAAGGGCCCCGCACTGGATTCCGGAGATCCGATGCCGGTCTCCAAGGGTCCGCATCGGCCTGTGAGGGCCCACCTTGGCCTATGAGGGCCCTCCGCTGGTCTCTAGGTTCCAAGTCCCGCCCATGCCGGACTGTTACGGCCCCACACTGACCTCTAAGGCCCATGCTGGCCTGTAAGGACACGCATTAGTCTCTGAGGGCCTTGCACTGGATTCTGAAGACCCGATGCTGGCCTCTGAGGCCCATCTTGGTTTTTGAGGGTCTTCTGCTGGCCTCTGGGGTCCAACACCGGCCCATGCCGGCATTTTAGGGTCCCACACTGACCTCTGAGGGCCCATACTGGCCTGTAAGGACCCACATTAGCCTCTGATGGCCCAAGTCGGCATCTTAAGGTCTCATCCTGCCCTTTGCAGGCCCTGTACTGGTCTCTGAGGGCCTTAACCCTCGCCGGCTGGGGGGGGGGGGGGCGGGTGCCGCCCCTCCATAGGTTTTTTTTCGCGATAGCTCCGAACACGCCGGCGATAGAGAGCTGAAGCTTGGCATACCTGACCTTTGAATCAAGCGGGATCTTTTGACACCAACCGCATTTTCGGGTCAGATCAGGTCACTGACCCATGTGGTCATAAGTGAACCTCTGCACGGTCTTCAGATGTCGCAACTTCGCAACGCCCTCACTGCCAGAGGAGATTTCACAGGGAAATGAACCTTGGAGGACCTAGTATCCAATAGGAGTCTCTCAACTTGTATAATGTATATCTCGGATTTTTCCTAAAGTTCATATGAGGTCAGGTCATTTTCGTGACCTCACCATTAGGTATAAGTCAATGGGGATAAACTGAAAACTTTTTCTGGCGCCGGGAACGATCGATCTCCAACTATCTCAAGCACACCGAATCGTGATTTCATGCACTCCTTGCAAGGTTCGATGCGTCACTTTTGCAATGTTGACCTTGCGCGACGTCATTTATGAAGTTATAAGGGTCTTATTAGTTTTTCGTCAATAACTAGGTACCGATCAAATTGAGCTAGCGAGTCGGGAAAGCCACCTATGGACTCAAGAAGACCTGCCGA